ATATGATTTTATATGATTTTATATGATTTTATATGATTGTTTTGTCTTGATTTTGTGCGTAATTTTGTTAATCTTATGATAATTTTATTTATTTTGGAATAATAATGACGATTGTTTTGGTTTAATAATCGTTACATAGCGTAGGCAATTAATAAACCGTTATTAAAATACATTACACTATATAAGTTTGTACAATTGAAAGGATAATTATTTGCCTGCATTATTCGTCGGATAAAAATTCACAAAGTGCTCCAATTAAAGTAAAATTGTAGTAGATAATTAATTCCTGTTGTAGCAACGCATTTCAATAATTTTCAACATGCTGTTTATACCTCCTTTTCGAACCGACATTGGAATATAATCGCGAGTAAATGTCACTGATTGCATATTTTTATCAATTATCGAATGACTAGTGACAGAATTTATTTTACCTTAATTACATGTTATGTACATTGAATTTTGAAATTATATATATAATTTTGGACAATAAAATATAATATTTATTCTTTTCTTGCCTTTGTAAGATATAGATATCGGATGCGATTGTTAGAAAATATCGTATTTTTTGTGGGAGTACATTAATGGTTAGTAATAATTTTTTTGTAATTTTTATCGTATCGTTTACAACATTCTTCTGAGAAAGGATAACGATATAAAGGCCTAGAACGGAGACGAAACTGGACGAAAGGACGCGCGAACAAATTCTCGCATCGGCTAATTAATGCCTCGACCACAATGGCGGAAAACGTCGAGGCTCCTCGGCCTTAAAACCAATTTGTTGCCCGCTCTCCGGCTCCTTGTTTCCCGGTCGGAAGGGCGCGGTGCGACTTCGCATTATACTTAGGGTTCCGCCATTATGTTTCCCCGGTTTTGCCGAAACAATACAGCGTGTAAGCGGTCTCGACGTAATATTACATCGACTGATTTATATCGTCCATTCTTGCGATCCGCATTCGCAACATTATATTCACTCACTAGGCGATCGGGATCATTATGACGTAATAAACGTCTGAATCGGACACTTTCGATGACGAAAGCGTTCCGGGTGCAAACCTAAAAAAAGAAAAAGAAAAATCGCTCATCAAGCCAGCATGTAACGATCGTAATGTGAAGTGTTGAAAAATTAAATCGAGGAGAGCCAAAATAAATGTCACGAACACTTAAATTATTACGGGACACTTAAATTATTACAGTAATAAAATATTTGTGTTGTGTCATATTAATCTTAGTCGCAAACAAATATTTTGAAAACACATCTGTAAATTTCATTAAAAAACATGAAAAAAACATGAGTTGAAAAATTAAATTAAGGAGAGCCAAAATAAATGTCAGATCAGAGCTTAAATTATTACAGTAATAAAATATTATTTGTGTTATCATATTAATTTTGATCGTAAATAGATATTTTGGAAATCTTGAATATACATTTGCAAATTTCATAGAGCTGTCACAAAAATCGTGATGTAAAAATATTGAAAAATTAAATTGAGAAAAATCAAAATAAACGTCACAGATCAGAATACTTAAACTACTTAGATAATATAAAAAATATCAGAATATTTAATATATAAGAATAATATAACAAATATAAGAATATTTGTTATTGTAATGCTGTTTATTTATGTCATTTTAATTCTTGCAAATAAATATTTTGCAAATAAATCTTGAATACATCTGTTATTAATATTTATCAAAGTATATATAACTGCGCGTGCATTAGAAGAACATAAAATTTTTATAACAATTTTTATAAAATTTATAGAAGCAATCATTTGAATTGTTTTCTCATTAAATGAAACAAGTGTTTATCGTATTGCAAAGAGCTCTCACTTACTATCGCTCTCGTTTTAATATTCACGCGCAATATCGCCGCCATCATTTACAAAACGCTAGATACTTTGTATAATGCAACGGCGAAGAGCGCCGTATCTCTTTATATTTGCGCAATATGCTTTCACAGAGTTCTTTTAGAATCGACGATGAGCGTTGTGCGGAAAGTCAGATTGGCGATCGATGCTAAGCAATTATCATAATTAATATATAACGTACAGAAATTAATATTTATTTAAATTATAAAGAGTAATTAATTCAGAAATTAATTAAAATTGTATAAATTTATGATTTATGATTCTTTGTATAGGTATTATATTACAATATGTTGATTGGATATTGCAACAATAGAATTAATTAGATGCCCGTATTGATTATATCTTAGTGATATTTGCGATAATAATAATTTAATGCAATTTAATTAATGGCAAAAGTGACGCTTAATTATTTCTCGATCTGACTAAAGTCTTATCAAATTTTATTAAGATTTTAATACTAGAGGACATGAAGTGCGTTTACAATTTATATAAATTTTTCTTACAAAGTGGAAAAAGTAGAGTATTTCCCTCTCAAAAGTGAAAGCGAGGGAAATGTCGATGCACAAATCTGCTTTGTTCACTCGATTCGAAACAATGTTTGACAGGACGAAACGAGCGACTGAACACGATGATGAACGCGAGCTGCGTGAAAGCGCATCGTAACTTTTTTCCCTTCCATTTAAGCGCGTCGCCCGCATTTTTGAAAGCAAATCTCAGATAGATTCGTCAACGGCAACATACGACACGGACGGTCTCGCTGCCGCGCGCCGGCCTCGCAAAGTTGCATGAGTCTGAAACGAAATTAAATCCGGGCGTATAAACGGGTGCCATGTATACCCTGTCAACGGTTACAAACGCGAGTCACGAATCCGTAGTGCACGAAGCGCGTCTTTCGCTTTTATTTACGGCTCGCCTGCTCGCACCGCGAACGCGTTGATTTAATTCCGAAAGTTGCCAGCGCTGGGAAAGAGAGCCGCCCCCATACGATGCGACACGTGTCTGTAATGTCCGCGTAACACGTGGGACTTCTTGCATTTCGGCATTTCGGTTTGCGTCGATACCGTATTCCTTTACTGGTTAAGTAGAGGAAAACGGAGGTTCCTGAGTGATATTTGATAACGTACGGTATTTCGATACTAAAGTCACGTGGTAGATTTTTACGAAACTCTTCGACCTCTATCTGTAACCAGCGTTTTCTTAAAAAAGGTATCAAAATATTAATGAATTTTGAAGTGATATGTGATTAAAAATCGCGATTTTATGCGAAATTATTCCTGATTTAATTTTAAATGGATTTTCACTTCGAGACGATGACAGGTGACTAAATTTTCGAAAAAGAAAAGTGAAAGAATAAAAGAAAAAATCAACGGAATGATAAAATAATTTCTACGCGAAGTTCGTAGGAACTTTCTACTTACATAGTATATTCTTTATTTGCGAGGGAAATGTCATAAACTATAAACTCCGGGCATGTCGGAGCGAAGGTATTAACACGCCACACGCAACTTTGTGCATTCGTGCGTGCTTCGTGCGTGCGCGACCGCTCGCTCGCGATTATTTGCCATTTATTTTCATATCCCTTTTTGCAGAGTATATTCATTGTAGCACGTGGACCGACATCTTTATCGCCGTCGTTATACAGGTTCAACGTACCTTTTGGTTCGCAACCGCCGCGCTGATTAACCCTTTCAACGCCGATGGCATTGCGCGGAGAGTTGCGCAATTTATGCGCATACATTTCACTTGCGCGCCGGATTCCGCCATTTTCTTAGTCATCCCTTGTTCTATTCGAGGTCGTGCACTCAGGGACAGGCAAATGTATAGAGTTTGCTTAGTGTGATTAAAGTAGATGAGTTTTGGTTGCGACGTAATTTTTGTTGCGTAACTTTTTGAATGGACGCCGCAGTAGATATTAATATATCGTGTTCATGTGTATGATTATTATTTGATGTATGTGGTTTATATAGAGTGTCCAGAGAGATATACATTATTCAAATATCTGTATGTGTAAAGGGAAAAATATTGAAAGCGTCCAGATATAGCTAGATTGAAAAAATTATTACGAAATGTTACGTCTAAAATTTATCTCTTTTTTTGCAGATTTCAAGAACTAAATTTTTATTATATATTTAAAGTCTATATTTTATATTAAATGAATATTTTTATGGTGTATTTTCTGCTACTCAAGAAATTAATTGTTTCTTATGAATACGTTAGTCATGATCGCTTAAACATTATTGTCAAGATAAGTTAATAAATGCACGAAATATCTAAATATCTCGCGAGGGAAATGATTTATTAATTTTTATTAATATCAAGCGCAATGTAGCGACGTGTGTATTTGCATACGAAACACACACATGCACACTCATTACTCACCCTTATGCATTGCGTGACTAATTCATCACACGTACCTAACATTTCGCCGCGTAGTTGAGTAATCTTACTTGTTTTAACACACAAGTGCACTTCTTCTTTTCCTCTTTGTTATTTTCTCGTATTTTCTCTACAGTTGCTCGACTATTTACGATCTTTTTCTCCTGCGTGTAAAAGATTTCTCGACGGACTGCTCGGAAAAATGTCTTGCAACATACCATATTTTAGATACGATGATTTGTTGGTAAAATGTTATATTTCAAAAATAGTACTAATATACACAAGTAAAATAGTAATAAATAATAACTAGAATAAAACATTTAATATAATAATAAATAGTAAATAGTAAATATTAATAATAAATAGTAATAATAATAGTAATAATAATAGTAAATAGTAATAATAAATAGTATTAATTAAAATAGACAAGGGGCTCAATATGTTTCTAAAATTTAATTTTCTTACGTATCTTGTATAATTAGAAAATATATAATGTAATTTTATATTTAAAAAAATAATACATTGATGTAAAATATATACAATTTCTTTTATTACTTAGCACTCTTATTTCCTCGTTTTTTACCGTTATTTAAATTGTAATATTCAGACTCTTATTGATTGTCAATTTCTTAATAATTCTTTTGTTTTTTAAAAGTATTAAATTCAATAAATGCGGTCCTTGCGAAATTTCTTTATTTATCACCGCAAGTTTATCTCGGATTTTATTGACGATATTCGTGTCTGCTTTTGTTCCAGTTGGGTTTCTTCACGTATTATACAGTGGCGATGGGCGAGGTGAATCCTTCGGGGCCGGTGCCGATCGACAGTGTCTTCATTTACAGGCCGGACAAGCGACTCGAGCTCTGGAGGTTTGCCTTCTACATGTTCTTGCACGCTGGGTAAGTCTCTTAATTTTTCTTTCAACAGCATCACTCTCGATCTATACACATTGTAAAATATATTTCACGCTATTCAGTCTCGCGTCTTTTTTTATTAAGACACCGTGCAATAATGAACTTCTCTTAAGAATACACAGTTTACTGATATTTAAAAGCTGATATATATATTTGCGATAAATATAATACTGAATCTCTCGAAACTTAGTTGGATTCCATCAGTTATTTTTTTTTTATTTTATCACCGAGATAAAGTGCATCGACAACTCGATTCTTTCTTTTATAGTACGCAAGTGCGTCAATTTTCTCGGCCATTGCGGAAGGAAACGCCAACGTAATACGAGCACTCATTTTCTTTTAAATCACGTATCACGCTGCAATTTTATATAACGTTCAAGCCACGTTTTTTTCACGCTAATGGATGCGAAAACAAATCTGCGTCAGTGCACATTCAAATTATCGAAGGCATCACCGACTAGAATTCGCGGCTAGAAAAATACGAGAGAGATGATAAAATCTTCGTAGAACGATGTTTAAGCAACGTGAATCATGAAGACGGTATTCTTCCGAGAATCGAATTTGCCATCTTTTTGACGTCTATTATTATCTCGAAAATATAAGATATTTTCTGTTATAAAAATAGTTCCATTATTTTTTTAAACACAAAAAAATAGAAAAATATTGCTATTGTTATTTTTATAATGAATATCTAAATTTAAGTAATTTTATATCGTTGGGATATTATTCCTGTGAACGTGAAATTACATCGCGATGTTATCGAATTGCAATAGCGATATTGCGAATCGTGATATCGAGAAAAAAAGAGAAGCCGAAATTCTCTGAATTCGACGGCGTCGTTGCATCGCACGAATTATTACGATTACGACAGCGTGGAAAAAGGGATCGAGATAAACCACGTCTCCGTCGCACTTTTTACCTCCTTTTTTCGTCAACTTGCAGAATCAACGTATCGTATACATGTTTCGTGCGTGCGTTGCATTTACTTTCTGTCTAATTTAATGCAGTTCAGGCTTATTGTTTAAGAAAAATATAATATACTATGTTATTTTTATTTTTTATTCTATCAATAATAAAGAATAAAACAATCGAGCAAGTGGATATTTCGAAGAGAGAAGCTCTTAGAAAAATATGTAATAAAAAATATAATAAATAGAGAAAAATATATAGTAATAAATAGAGACAATATAAAATACAGAGACAGAGAGAGGAGGAAATGAAAAAGTATATAATATGGAATTCCAGGTTTTACGTATTTTATTACTTATTTTATATAATTCGAGTATATTTACTCGAATTATATAACATTTTTTCTTTTTATTTATTCTTCCTATTTAACGTCAAAACATGATATAATTGAAAATGGTACAATAAAGTCTTTTGAAGTTTTATAGAAAAATATGTGAATACTTCAAATATATAATAATAATATGTATGTAATAAAAAGAAAACTTGATACACAAGGATACTATTTAATTAAATTTATTTAGAAAATTTAAATAAATTTAAATAAATTTGTAATTGCGACATATTACAGGATATAAAATATTTATATGCATGAGAAGACAAATATTGAACTTAAACGGAAAGCATGCATAACCACCTGCGTTCGCCATAGATATTAGGCATTAAGTTACTGACTAATTACAGCTAATTCTATTCCGTATATTGCCGTATATTGCATTCCGCAATTTTCATTCTCAATCGACATCGCGTTGATTAAATTGAAGCGACGTCACAGAAGAAACGAAATTGTTTAAGTGTTGCGGCATGCATTATCCACGGGAAAGAAAATGGAGGAAAAGGAGGCAGCTTCTTCCGCTTATGGTTTTTTCTATTATACTTACTTTTTTTCTCTCGTCTCCTCCACATTGATGGTTTTTGCCTTCTTTTCCCTTTTCTCCACCTTCTGCTTTTTCTATCTCGACGTTTCTCTGAACGCACCAACATTTCCACCAACATTTCCACCTCTTTCTTTTCCAAGTCCCAAGATCACGAGGAGAAAAGAGACCGAGAGATTCTACAGCCGATTCTCTCTGTGTTTGGTCTCTTTCTTTCGCCGATGGGATAAAAGTTTTCAGCGCGCGGAAGCTCTGTAAATTATTCATGGAACGCCAGATAAGGCGTCGTTTTTCCTTCGTGCGTATGGAAACGGCGATAAGAGTGACCCCCATCGCCGTATTTTTTCTCTATAGAAAAAGTGGTGTGTTGGTTCAATTTTTGTTCCCCTTTTGTGTTTCTTTTTTTATTATTCTCTTTAGTCTTCCTCCCGTTTCCAATTTTTGATAATATTTCGATATCACAACTTCCTATTTATCGCATCATACTTTTTAATTTTTTCCTGCTCTTACGGTGCTTTCCTTTAAATCTCCAAAATTTGGTATTTTGTTTTAACGTTTATTTTATTAATATTTCTATTTTCTATTCTCCCTCACTTTTTGAAGTTGTACAATATTATTATTAATATTAATATATGCATTTTTAATTGTGTGAAATTTATTTGTTTTATATTCTTTCTAATGTCTCATAATGTCGCTAGTATTTATTCTGCATCGTTTTATTCTTATTATGTCGTTGAAACGCGGGGGGATAGAAGACGGAAGGACTTCGAAACGTAATAAACTTCATCGCATCTTCTTTTTTCCTCCTTTCCGTAAATTCCTTCCCAAGCCGGAATTCACTGTGCATTTGTCTTCCTTTCTACCGGTTACTTCTTTTGTCGATCCGCGCTTTCGCGCGAAACGTTATCGCGGATGTTGGATTATTAATGCGAACAACGCCCCGCGCCCGTCCATCAAAAGTCATTTCCCTGAGCATTACATGATCCCGAAAGAGCTCGAGAGATACGCGGCAACGTACGGTAAGTCTAAGATAAATTCCGTAGAAGCTCATAAATTCGTTCGAGGGGGACGGAGGATCTCCAGGGAAGATACGCATGTGAATGGATACGTTTTAAAAATTGAGTCTTGGATAAATCATGCGGGATAATAAAGCGGTCGCAATTTTTTCCCCTTTTTTTCGGCCTTCATTTCCGCAGTCGATGTACATCAATAATCTTCGGATCGATTACACGCGCGACCGTTTTATGTCCGTTACGCTAATTGGCATAAATCGGGGTTATGATAAGCGAGTATAATGCATCGACGATGACACACGAGCTGCCAGGAAAGGCCAGAAGCGCGATCCATAATCGACGGATAAAAAGCCCGGCGCTTCAGTCGAGCGACAGGCGATTAATTATAAAAACAAGACGGGCGAGCGCCTTTTTCCGTCTCCGCGTAACGCCCGTTACCTTCGCCAGACGTTATCGAGCTTCCTCCGTTATTAATGTGAAAACTGTCTCTGCTGCCATCGTGCTCCCAAGTCGTGTTTCCGTCCTCCTTTCTCTCTCTCTTTCTCTCTTTCTCTCTGTCTCTCTTTTACGCTACGCACGATGTCGTGAGAAAGCCGGAAGCACGGAAAAATCGAGACAATCGCCGTAATTGTGGGAAGTCAACGCGGATACAATGGTATCGTCGAATCCGCGAAATACGAGACGAAAGGATCGCGCCGTACGAGACGGAACACGCTTCCCTGTCTCTCGTCGTTGTCCGTAGTATGTATCGACTCGTGCGAATCAGGCTTGATTCACAAGAACGCTTCGTCGCGCTTGAATTGTCAGACACGGCATCATCACATCTTATAAAAAAAAAGACACTCGCCCCAAAAAATACGCCCAGAGATTTTTTCGCAACAAAGGATTTTTATTTGACGAAGCGGATCGAATTGATCAAAATTGTCTTTTATAAAAATGATACTTATATATACTTCTGGACAAGATTAACGCATAATTTTTTTTCACCTTTTCTTTAAAAATGATATTTAAATTTTAATGAAAATTTTTAAAGAATAAATGAAAAAAATTATGCATTAATTTTGTTCAGGAATATATGTAAAATATATATCGTAAAATATAAATATCATGTTGCAAATGCACTGCATCTCTCTTTTTCGTGAAAACGAAGTCCACAAATGGGTCGCAAACTTCGTAAATCATTTCGTAGTTCCTAACCGTGGGGAGGGGGAGGAGGAGAGGAATATACTCTCAAATCTTTCGACTCGTAACTCAATTTAAATAACTGTGTCCACACCACCCGACGTCATCCTTATAAGCCCTCGTCACTTGCGCGCTGCCGATATTATGCATGCGCGACGAGCACGGCGGCACACCATTATACCACGAGTCTTTTTAATGTCGCATAAATGCGCCGGGGAGGTTTGCGACTCTTAATATCATCGAGGCGGCCTCCTCTCGTCTCGCGTGCACGCGAAACTTTCGACCTGCGCTCCAAACCCCAAGCTCCGCGAATGAAAATTCTTCTTGAAAGTGAACAAATTGCACGCGCGATTATATTCAGTCTTTGCTCCTCTCGCAAGAGGAGAAAATGAATTTCGTTACGATATTAAGTCGTGCGTCCCTCGAAATATTAATTATTAACAATTAATCAGGATATATTTGAAGTTCCTTTTTTTCCAATATCTCGATAATTACATTCGTAATTATGATTTTGTAAATTCACTCGAATTGATTTGAAATAAAATATCGAATTGCACGCTAAAATTTGATCTATGAGACTGTTTTTCGGTAGTTAACTCGAGAATTAGCCGAGAATTTCACGATATTTTAGTTGAAGAGAGATCGTTCTTCAATTGGTCAAAGAATCTGTCAATTCAGAACTCAGATCGGAATTTCCTTGAGAGAGCCGTGTAGGATCGCCGACTGCTGAGACATCATTCTCGACAGGCTCGTCTTCGCTTTCGTCTTTCGTAAGTAAGAAGTTTTCGGCGCGTAATTAACTAGCAAGTAGTTAGAGGCGCTGACGAAACCACTTGCGCCTGTGGAACATTAGAGTCAACTTGCTTGGGAACTTTATCCTCTCGTTCTCGCAAAGTTACCAGCACCCAATATGTGTTCGATAATACTTTTGATCCGTTCACGCGACCCCAGCTTCCCGCGAATTATCGCGAATTTGTTGAATAAGATCGAATTAAATGCAACCGACTGCTAGAAATATCGAGACACAGTCTTCCTTATTTCGTTATTTTTCTACGTAAAATATTTTACCATTCTTTAAATTTTAATTTTGTTCGTTATTATATTATTTAATGTTTTTATTATAACGAATACGATTATCTCTAGGTATTTAAATTGGGGTTATAGAATCAAAATATCATTCGGTATTTTTCGGGACAGCCATCTTATGAATAATATATCTATCGTATTGTGATTCGTCGTAAATACGCAATCGAGATTGGAAACGCGCAAGAAAACCCGGTCCTTTTCCTTATAATCGGACGACCCGACGAAAACGATAAGACGAATAGATATTCGTTGTAAGAGGCCGGTTATCGTCATTCGTATTCGTCGAATGGAAATTCAGCCCTCGAACGACGACATTGCCTTCCGCGGTCGTGGACCGAAACAGATGGCGAAGGAAAAAGGTAGATAGATGGGTAGGGGACCTCACGCGGAAACCGAGAAATCCATCGTAATTCATCTACCGGCACAATGCCCGAGATTCGTCTAATTGGTATCCAATTAACCGAAATTGGCGCGGTCGATCTGAGAACCTTATCGTGACTCGAATATCTTGAGAGCAGATTTTGCTGATTGCGAGAGAGGCGCTCGAACTTGCACGGACCGCCATTGTTCGACAATAAACGTCGTTGTATATGTGTACATTTACGTTATATTTTAACGAACATGCCGATTATGCATATTGATCCTATTAAAGTATTAATTTATGCAACTGATGCCATTTATTTAATTATGTCACTATATGTGAATGTGAAATTTAACAATGATGTTCGAATTAAATATCTTTGATGAATTGATAATTAATCTTTGATGAATGAGCTAAAGTATATTGTTACAATGAAGATGTTAATCCGATGATTTTTGAAAGTCCCTGTCATTTGTATATCGAATTACATATTCACAAATTTATAAAAGTATCAGTGATCACAATTTGACTACCTTATAGATTTTATCTTCCTTAATCAGACAATAAATTGTTAAAAATTTTATATATTATATGTCGCATGAAAAAAAAGTAATACTTAGAAAGATTCCAATAAAATTTTGCTATGAATTTTGTACAATATTTAAAACAAATAAGAAGTGGCGATGGTTTCAATAGAAGATTGAAAAAAAAAAACTAACGTGCAAAAATCAGTGGGAGTTCTATCGGCGGATGATATCAAGACAGCAGGAGACCGAAAATTTATGAACCACCTACGATCGCGACGTCTCCTTACGCGCGTTCCATTCCAACGATTGCATTCTGAAAACGTATCGACATCTATACATCACGTCTGTTTCAACGTGAAGGCGACCTCCGGCTTTCCGCCCCCGCGATCCAGAAGGATGGGGGCATCGTCATTTGCATTCATCCGGCAACGGGAGACAGCAAAAAAACACTCGTTGGAATTCCGAGTATCGATTTAATTCTGACCTAATCACGGTTACCTCTCGCTCCATCCTTCCCCTCTCTCGTCGCAGATGAACTTCGTTCCTTGGTAATGCGACTGCTGCGAGTAATCCGAGGCCGTGGCATCCATTTCTGTCGACGAGACTAACCGAGGAGTGACGACGCCCAAGCGTTCCAACCATCGCATTCTTTCCATTTGACCGCATTGCGACAGAGCGCACGACGACGATAAAACTCGTATCTGATGCAAATTGGTCGCTTCCTAGACGCACGTCGCGGCTACGAGGTTACGGTATACGCAGACTAATTGCGGCCTACCGCATTCTATGATGCAAAGAGGCTTCTGCGAAAAAGTCGTCTTTTCCTCTCTTCAAATCTCGTTTCACGAGGAAAAATTTAATGAACTCGAGAAATTCGTGTCATCGGTCAAGTAGACACGCGTTTAAGAATGTTTTGTACCTATTTTCAAAATATTGAGAATTTAATGAAAATTGTACAGATGTCCTTACATATGTTTAGAATCTTCAGTACAATTTTTAAATCGATTCACTAAAGCGTTCACAAGTTATAACGATTTTCATTTGCACCGAATTAACATGTGTTCTTATGAGAAACGTATAACCACGTCGGTTCAAATGACAAAACACATGGAAATAATATTCAGAATTTGTTTAAAATTTGCAAAAGTTTAGATACAGAGGAAATATTTGGTCAAACAATATTATACAGTACTAACTGGTTAAAAAGATATTAAATATAATTCGATGAAGTTAGCCATGTATCTGTCACAAGGAAATTCTCTGCCAAAAGTTAATCATTTCAATTAACAAAATTTGGATCTTATTTCAGTAAAAACGCAATAAGTATTAAAAAATACATCTCTGCACTGTAGCTAAGATCAAATTGTAATATTCTACACAATTTCTTACTCAAAATACACCAAAAATGAATATATTCAATATTGATTTTCAGCTACTTTTTGCTGAGATTGTACATACAAAACAACCTTAAAAGATTCCTCGCTTAGAAAATTATTAGGATGAATAAAAAATCTACTTTATTAATGTTTACTTTCTAGTCTAAAACTTGTCTTTTTCTTGTGTCAATTTTCAATTTGATAAAATATATAATAATTCCGATAATTAAGGATGAAATATTCTAATTATCTATACAGGTTGAAAATATTTTTTTTCTGAGAAAACGAGAAATTAAAGTTTTTCATTTATTCTTTTAGATTACAATTAAATTATAACAATACACTTCTATTACGTTATATAATGTGCTACATTTGTAGTAGAAATGGAAGGATAATAGTTTCTGCCTCGATCGACAATCTAAATCTCGCGATCGTGTCAACGAGAAATCGCTCTCCGAGATTTTCCATGCTCTCGAGTGTATGACGCGATAGATAAGCGAAAACGATCGTTTCCCGAGCTTAGAAAGTTTCTTCTCACGAAGATAATATTCATAATTGCTCTACGGCTTCTTTTCTTGCAAAGTTTTCTTTTGCTCATTACAGCTGAGGTCGTCCGAATTATTAAACGACCACCGATCGCATCATCCTTGGCGAATTCTTATCATTCGCACGCGTTTTATCTTGCATTGCCTTTGTTCCAGCCATCACCGCCGAATTCGCCCGGAATTCCCTCCGGCTTCGGTTCTAATCTCAGTCCGACTCCGGGATATGCTATGGCGTAAACGTTTATTTCCTCCCTATTTTATTCGCGTCTCGCATTACTTTATGAAACTGCGAGGAATTACGTCGTTTCTCCCGAGATTTATCGCCCGACGTCGTCGGCGCGCGTGAGAATCCTCGGCGCGAGATGTAATAATTAGTCGGCCAAAGTTTCACGATAACGGCGGGGTATCGGATTTTCGTGCTTCTGTGGCCCAGAAGTCGCTGATAAAACTTTCCTCCGACCGCGGCCGGTATCTCGCAATTATTTCACTTGGCGACATTCTTCGGCAATCTTCTTGGCACTCTCGCCGAGATGCTCTGGGCGAATAAGAATATTGTATTGAATTTGGCTTTCTCTTCTTCTTCCCCCCCCCCCGTTTGCGAAAGAAATTGAGAGTATAATTATCGTAATTCCGTTGACCGCACCGATAGTCATGAACCGACGACACGCGGAATTCATCGTGAATCTGAATCATCGATTATTTTCGACCTTTCCTCCGGCGCTTTGGACGCTTCCGTCTTATCGGCGAGAACATAACGAGATGTTCCTAATTAAAACTATACCCAAGCGCGATCTTATAATTCGCGATTAACGGCAATCTTCTCTCTCGGATCCACGCGAACTTTCAAAATTTTCGGCGACCAAAGTTGCAACGATATGTTAACTTTGCGGTTAACTTTGGCTTAACTTTGCGATAATAATTTTATGCCAAAAGAATTAGAGTTTTTTCTGTAGTATTAATTAATTATTTTACAACACATGGTGATTGCAATCGATCTAATTTGCAATACTTTGTGTCGATATAACAAGTAATAATGACTTCTTAATTTTATAGTAATTGTTAAGTGTAAATATGTAATTTTATAACGATTATATTGCATATTATACTTGTGGTAAAATTATTACCACATCGTTATTATGTTTTATAAAAATAGAGTAGCTATAGATGTATAATTCAGGAATTAGACGCATGCAAATCGCGTGCTATTGTAATTAAGTTGAAAAATTTCCGGAGCAGTCTGGGGCTCTAACAAAACAATTATTATGACCTAGTAATTTACCGCGTGATTATATTTTTTTTCAGATGGCTCCACCTGCTGTTTAACCTGGGGGTTCAGGTGGTCGTGGGACTTCCCTTGGAAATGGTTCACGGAAGCCTGAGGATCGCCGCGGTTTACATGGCCGGGGTTCTTGCCGGTGAGTAATGTCGTCTGCAATGTGAATTATGTTATAGTGCATCTACAATTTATGCTCCAAGCGTAAATGCTCGTTTAACCTTCGCGTCTTGCCGACAAAAGTTAAACCAAACATAAAATCTTGGCTTGAAATAATTATTGAGAACAGAAATCGAATATAGCATTTAAAAAGGACTAAAAGCTTGAATTATTCAGTAATAATCATATCATTTTTTCATACGTTATTTTATGATTAAATATATGCAAGTGCTGTATTTATAATTATAAATATATGTAAGCTATATTTATAATTAAATCACAATGCATTTATTTCAATTGTCATTCGTTTAAGTTCTGTCACGTGCAATGACAATCGCAACCAGCGATTGATACAATTCAATTGTCTCTCTTTTTCTTTCTCTCTCTTTCTCTTTCCTATTTTCTTCTTCTGTTTTGTATTTTTTTTTTTATAAAATGCGTTTTTTTACAATTGTTGAACAAAATTAGTTCGCTGCATATAAAAATACAAGCGAGATATATCACGAAACGTGAATATTATAACCGAAATGTCTAAAATATGTGAGGTGCTAATTATTCGAACATATGGTACCTACTATAACGAAGCGTTTTAATTAAAATTCGTTGATGTTAATATAAGTACCTTGACAGTTGGATAATGAAACGCTTTTCATTCGCAATTTTGCACGTTTCCCAAATAATCTCACATCATCTCTTTCAATTAATTTATCGGTAACAAGTTGAATTTTTTACAATTTATCGTAAATATATTTGAGTGACAAATTTTTTTTATACATGCAATTCTCTCTCCTTTTTATAGCACAAGAATTACAAACGATAATGTTATTTCTATGTTTACGGTATCGTTTTCTATGCTAAGCAATTTGTGTCCGAAACATTTTTGCATATTTATCGAGACAACAAAGGCGACCGAGTAATTCCAGCAAATTGTTCTATTCCATGTATACGAAATGTATATAGAGCGTGGATACACGTATGCGGGCAAAAACGTATCTATATACATCTAATTGTCATTTGCATAAATTCGATTAGACGCAGATCCCGAGTTATTAGCGGTCATGAAAGTAAAACGTGGCAAAATGGGGCGCATGAATAATCAACTCTAACCGAACGGGGGACAAAAGAGGATGCAGGAATTAGATAACGAGGAACGGCGGTGTATATAGGAATTTCAAAACAGATGCGATGCAATGTTACTTTTGCTAAATTAGCAAGAATAAACACGGGGTGCAGTCTTCCATTTATACATTAACTGAATTTTAATTTGAGGATTAATTGTTTGAATTGTAAATTAAAAATGTAAAACGATGCAAATGACATGAGGAACAGTTTTAAGAGTGGAAATCGAAATGAAAAAAAAACTTTATATAACATATATATTGTTAATTATAAATACAAAAGTTAGAAGTAAAAGTAATCATAAGATACTGCCAGCGAATAATAAATCGTTTTTATATTACAAAGGATTACGCAAGTGTAAAGGGATGATGTGCTTTCAAAACTTTCACACTTTCATACCATAATTTATGACAAAGACGTCAAACTTCTCTCAATATTATCGACACGTTGCTTCTGTCTGTTTTCGTCGTTTTCATTCTCGTGAAATTTCCCGATTGCGCATTTCCGACTATCCTTGTCTAACCATTTTATCTCGCTTTTCACCTCTGCTTTCGAGCGTTCGAGCAGTGCGTATCTCCATCTCCGTTCGTCTAAAGTCGCTCGCAAGGATGCGCCACATCGTCGGCGACAGCTTGTCTGGGCCCACCGCGACGAGATTACTTCGTATGCATCGCGGTCGCGACGATATAATGCGATTGCAATGACGCAAGTGCAACGGCAACTGCATCATCCCCTCTTTTCCTCCGGTACCTCCGTCCGTCTTTACGTGTGACTCGCATCGTCCGCTCTTTTTCCTCTGGCCGACTCTTCATTTAACGTTGATCGAATTATGGCCATATTCAATTACTCGCAGAAAAGCCATCGTCATTTCTTTTTTATAAAAGACATAATTAATAATATACATTCCGCAATAATATGGCTTGATACGCAATATTATTTTTTATTGAAATTAATTACATATAAATGACAATTTTAAAGAAGATACATTAGAAAGTAAATTGAATTTATTAAAAAATGTGAAATAAAGAAATTATTACTTCTTTTACAAATGATACATATAATATTTCTCTGTAATATTTTTTTATTAAAATTAATATTCTCGAGCATATATTATATAATTCAATATAATTACATTTATATTCTTTCAAGGAGCGATGCAATTATTATTTGCTGCATATTTTTATGATTATGAATATGTTCAAATATATTTTATTAGTATAAAATGCGTATCTCGCATATATCAATTAATATTGTGCGACACATGAGAAAAAAAACGTTGAAACATAATCATCAAACTAATGAGGGAGGTAAATCAACGTTTTAAATTATGCGGTTGCCGCACTACGTGAGTGTAAATTATCCTTAGTGCGATGTGAAACCGGGTAGCTTATAAATGCACTTCTCCGGAGTAGTACACGGATTAATGTCGTTTACGACATCGTCGCGCTTATTACTGGTTGTACTCCCTGTCCTTCCTATTGCTCGACCATTTCTACTTGGAAATTTTGGACAATGAAGCGAAATAGAGATTTGCCATCGTTAGGTATTCACAGCGCAAACGTACGAATTCATATAATATATGAAAATTAAATGTCATAATAATTAAAAAAGATGAATTATAATATACGTATATTTTTTATCTTACACAAATTTTCTATGAGAGAAAGGTAACCTGAATTTTAAATTAAGTTTGTAATATATCTTAGTTATAAAGAATATTTTTTAAATTTCTACTTCTTAAAATAATGTAAATATGTGAGATTATAATTTTCATGAAAATTTATTGATTAAAATTGTCTACAAATGTAAAAAAAAACATACACTATTTGAAAAATAGTAATTAATATTTAACTTCGATAAAATAATTAAGAGCATTCACATGATTAACGGAATTCAAAAAAAATTTAACAAAAATTGAATGCACAATAATGAGCGAACAGTAATATATTAATTTTTTAAAGTGAATTATATATCCTTAATAATTCCGTCTCGTTGATTTCGTGCGGCGCGCTCACCGCTCTCATTAGCAAACTTTCTTCTCTATCAACATTAACGAATGTTTCCCGGTATCCAATTTTTTGTCAAAGAACGGATGCAATTCCGTGCCGTAGCATCGTCCTCGTCGTCATCGGCGTCGGCGTCGTCGTCGCGGCGGCGTTGTCGAGTCGATTGCGTGACACCAGCAATTATACGAAGGCATTTGCATGTCGTACGACGCGCTTCGTCGTTCGTATGCACGACTGCGTGTGGCCAGTCGCCGGTGCATTAACTCGACTCGAAGATAACCAACGACGACGACGACGAAGACGACGGTGATGATGATAGTACCCGGACTGACTCTGAAAATCAATACTTCGTTTCCTTCTCTTTTTTCACGCGTCTTTAACTTTACTTTTAGCACGAGATCGCGTTGTCTCAGCTCGTTAGAGCCTCCTTCCACTTATTTCTTTCGATCATTTTGGAAACGGCGGAAACATCTTGATGACAATCGAGAAAAACTTTAAATTGGACGATAAAATGCTATACGAACGTCAAATCTATCGGAACACGCTATCATGTTGTCGTCATCAGTAATAATTTTATTTCTTTCTGATTTTTATATATTTTTTATGGTTGATTTAATTTTTACATTTCTTCATGCATATACATACATACATACATACATATATATATATATATATATATATTAAATAATTTTTATATAAATATAATATATAAAAACTTTTTTTCCAAAATGAAAGCAATTTGATCTAACGACCTTTTTATCGATACTGACAATCCAAGTGCAATTTATTTCTTTTTCAAAATTCGAAAACAATATATATTTTCATTAAAGTTTAATCTCGTCATGCAAAAAATGCAACGGTCATCGGAAATAAAAAAAAAAAATAATGCAAACAGAATGGAAGCAGGAAAAATGATTTAGCGTATTTCACTACATTATAATCAGGATGAATTTGAACGTGCTTTATGCAGCCATTGAAGTACGATTTCGCTCTTTTCGCTGCCTATCTTTTTTTGTACGCGTATGCAAACATATTTGTATGTTTGCAAGCGCGTGCATTTTCTGTTTATTTTTTTTTCCTTCCCCTCTCCGCTCGTTTTAATATTTTCAACGCAAAAACCTTCACAGACATAGCCTATCGTTGGGTCAAAGGGATATTAAAACAACGGAACGAAATGCGGGATGTACAAAATGTTGATATTGCGCACGCTCCTCGCTTTCGATCGGGAATTTTGCGTGTCGATGATCGCGCTTAGAATGCCGAAACTTTCGCAAAAAGCATGCGTGCATGCGAGAGGAACAAAGAGAAAGCTAGGGTGAAAAAAAAAATCGGTGAATAGCGAGCGCGCTGGAAATTTCAGTATTTTTGAAACAATGCGAGATTGAATACTCGCAAATTTGAATTTTTTTTTAAACTATATTTTTCATATGACAGATGTAATTTTATGCAGATATTAATCACGTTTTGAATAAATGATTTTTTGTGAGCAATATCTATTACTACATTAGAGAAGGAAGAAATTTATATAATTGGAATTATAATTTAATAGAATAAAATTCTTTTCAATATAAAAAATGCGACATTTTTAAATTTATCTTTCCGCCGAGAAAGGTTTATGTCAAAAACCAATAACGCTCTAAAAAATGGTAATATGATGTAATATAACTTGCGTTCAATATTAAAGTGTTATTACATTTATGTTACGCGTATTTCCCAACGGGCCTACAATAAATATCAGAACCTAATCTGATCCATTATCGAATGCAAGATCGGTGTATACGATCATATTATATTTTTTATAGAATATTTGAGAAAGTAATATATATTTTTTGCGAATAGTGAGATTTCCTTTACCATT